TTATTATTGTCATCTAGATTCTAATACAAGAAATAATTAATACATAAAGAGATATCAAAATTTAATACAGACAAAAATGGTACATTACAAATCAAACATATAACATACAAAAGACATAAATATATCACCTGCATATCATATAGAAAATTTATAAACTAAATGGGAAAGTTCTCTTCTTTCGTTTTTTTTTTTTTCTTTTTTTGGTTTTCCTTCAGAATTGATCAAGGCAGAAAGATGGTAAAACAAAAAAAGATAAGAAAGTTTTTGAAAACAAAACAAAACAAAAAAAAAAAAAAAATTATTCATCAAATTTTTTTTCCCTCTAATTTTATTGCACCAGTTTTAAAAGACATTTTTGGAAGTGATTTCTCTGCCTCTGTGTTTCCGACTATCAAAAACTTAAATGACATTCATCATCAGATCTGGTGAACCAACTGGAACTGTAGATGAATGCTGATTTTGCAATGTTTTTGCTACTCGTCTGATTGTCCTCGTCGTTTTTCTGCTTCTGCAGTTCAAAATATTCGACGAACACCGGTTGCGTATTGTTCTAAGTAAACACGATGCTTCTTTGGCGCGGACACAGAGACATCACCATTTGTACACCATTTTTAGTAAAAGACAACAAATACATTGTAATTGTGTTACCCCCCACCCCTCTGTCCTTGTCTTCCACTCCGGATGCTTTGCTGTAAAGCGTAAATTCAGCTTCTATCTACCCAGACAGCCTGTATCAAAACGGATGAGGAGGAAAGGTGAGAGCAGATAGGATGAACGGGTATACAGGCTGTTCAGACTGCTGATGACGTTGGCGACCATGACAGTGGTTTTGATGCAGAATTTAAAGCTTATCAGCCAGAACTCTATATGTGTTGGTTGTATCAGTTGCGGCGAATCCCCTTTTGTGTCCGCTGCCAACCTTATTTGTTTTGGCGCCATAAAGGGCACAATATGGATGGATCTTTTACCCGTGCCCGTGTTTTCTTTGCCTTCTTCTCGTTCTTCTATTTCTTCTTCTTCTTCTTCTTCTTCTACTTCTCCGTCTTCGTCTTCATCGCCTTCATCGTGTTCACACCTTGATCATTAAGTGTGCTGCTTATAATGGAGCCAATCATCGCAACTGTACATCACTACGAACTTTCCATCAGTAAAAGATAACCATTATATGCATAATTTTAATTTTCTCTTTTTTCCTCTCACTTTTTTTTTGCTACAAAAACTTATCAGAATATTAAATCTAAAAATTTTTTAAAGTAACTTTCGTTAACAAAACAAAAAACTTGGGCAAGTCTAGCATTACGGTCTCTTTTATTGTTTGTAAAAGTTTTAACAGAATATGAAGAAGAAGAAGAAGAAGAGGAGGAAGAAGTAGAAGAAAAAGAGGAGGAAAAAAGTCTATCCAAAAATGGGCATCTTAAATTACAAAAAAAAAAAAACTTTTCAGTCTGAGTAGAAATAAAAAACAAACTTTTTTTGTGCGTGTGAAGTTCTTATGCGTGTTTTCAACTACCGCGAATTCGATGGTGCAAAATCTCTCTTTTTTTTGCTTTTTTCCTACATCTTTTTGTTGCTAACAGATCTTTAAAATGTTTGTATGTTTTTGTGTTTTTGTCCATTTTAACTTAAAAATAGTTGAGAAGTGCAACTAGTCTAGTGTCTAGTTTAGTAGGTTATCTGGTTCTTTTTGCAATCTTTTTCCTTTTCCCTTTTTTTTTTCATTCAACTTTAATAGTGTACTTACGGGGGAAAAAATGAATTGTAGCAGCAACAACGACAGCAACAGAGTAAAGCTACTGATAGGTATCTAATAGGACTAATGATAACCTTAATATCAGATAAGCAATAATGCTATAATGACGGTAACAACAATAATACCACTAATAATAGTAAGAGTATTACTAGTACTAATAGTAATAGTAAAAGTAATACTAATGATACTAATAATAGTAATAATAATAAAATTAGTAATAGTGATAATAATGATGAAAGTAATAACTATAATAGTTGCAAAAATAGAATTTATAGAAATAGTGGCGTTAATAATAGAACCAGCAGTAAGGCGGGTGGTAGCCAAAAACATTTGGTGGATGATACGATCAATAGCAAAAGCAAATGATTTAAACGATTGAATGAAACAAAAAAAAAAA